CCTTCCAGGTACTGCTAAAACAAAATGTAAATGCAGGGAAGTGAACGGAGAGTGGTGTGGTGTTGTATATAGTTTGTTTGTTTATTATTTCAGTACTGCAGATCCAACCCTCGGTCTTCTGTGTGTTAGGCAAGTGCTCTACATCACCAGCACCTGTGTGCTGCTTTATTTAAGGTCGTTGGAAAGCCTCTTTGACAGATAACACTGGGGTAGAGAGCACAAGGCAATGAGAGAGCCATTCATGAAGTTATCTAGGGGAAAGATTTTGCTGATGGATCAGATGGACATGGGAGTCCATGAAAAAGGTAGGAGTCTGGGAAGAGCTGAGCTCCAGCCTTGAGCACCTGGTAGAATGGAGCTAACTTTATTGACCCAATAAAAATTAGGGAATCCCCTCAGGGTATTCATGGGGCTTTGCCTCTCCTGAGGAACAGCCTCATTTTCTCCATACTGCTTGCCTCTGCTTCGTGAGAAAGGAAGAAACACTGGCTCGGAGTGGACTCAGTCCGGTAGGCTGCATACACGGGCAGGATGTGACTGTGGGTGACTCAGCTTTCCTTAAACGGCAGGTGCCATTTTGACTGTTCTCACCAGTGTCCTGGCGACTCACTGAACTCTTTCAAGCTTCATCTGATATTTTCTCTCCTTGTTCCACCCCAAGCACCCAATACTCTAGCCACTCTAGTATACTTTCATGTCTTTGCCCCCAACTGTTTGCCCATCCTGGGGCACTTTTTTTCCTGTCTATTAAATTGTTATATTTGGTTACACCACTTGGGAATCTGTGCCAACAAGGTGGGGCAGGGCTAGCAGACAGAATGTGGGGAAAGCAAACTGAAGCTGGGAGAGCAGATCCTCTTGGTGTCTGGGTGGGCGAAAGGGCTGCAGTTAGACTAGGGAGCTGGCAGGGATTGCAGAGCATGTTTGGGGGCTTCAGGCCGATTCCAAGATGAAACCAGCACTCCAGGAAGGACACAGTGAGAGATTTCCGCCCGGAAACAGCCACTGCAAACAGTGCGGCCCGGCTGTCTATTTCGGTGGGAGGAAGACCAGAAGTAAATAAGAAGATAAGTGAGTATCCACCAAAACGTCCCTGGCTTTCCAGTTGATGGGTCGGTAGGTAGGTAAGAACCCTGGAGGTGTGAGCAGGCATGCAAAGCCAGGTGCCTGCTACATTTGGCTAGGGCAACATTCTGATAAAGCCACTGAACTTTGGTCTAACCCCAGTGTGCTGTTGGCTTCCAGGAACCCCCTTGTTGAGCATCAGATGATAACCAGGAGTTCTTCCTGGGTGTTTGGAAGCTCCGAATAGGCACCTCTTCTAAGACACAAAATAATCTATTTAAGATTAAAAAAAACTATTAGAACTTCTGTTTCTATGTTTTCCTATTTCATTCATAATGCCCTAATACCTTTATGGGAAGTGTAAATAAGTAGATATGCTTAGATTAGAGTGAACTTCCAGAATTCTTTTACAGATGCATTAGTATCGCCAAAGAGATTGAAGAGTTCTTTCTGGAGACTGGAAGCCAAGAGGGGATGCACCAGGCTGGGTGAGGTAGGATTGCTAGTTCCTGGGAAGGAGAATGGGTAGTGAGAGGGGAGAGGGAAGAAGTTCGCTGATATGTTGGGGGTCCGTGTATCCCCCTGGGGGTGTGATATGAATAAGCCTGGGTAAACCGCTCTAGGGAAAGGTCTCTGACATGTTGGTGGGGAGGAGCTCTCTGGAAGGCACTGCCCTAGCCAAGCGGGGAAGGTCACTCTTTAGTCTGCTCCCAGGTCCTGCTTGCAGCTCTACAACCAATCCTGGAAGAGTCGAGCCTTTCAAGTGGGCAGGCTGAGAAGGACGCTTAGCTATGGACACTTCCTAGAGTTGAGAAGGAAAATCTCTCCGGGTGGAGGACAGATGCAAGCTGGTGCCACAAGTCTGTTGGCAGGAAGGAAAGCTGACAGGCTGCTGAAGAGATGGACAGGGAATATTTCAAAGTTTTTTTTTATGACACACCAGGACAACCATGAACAATCAAGATATCCCTTCTCTAAGCAGGAACAGATAGACACAAGGACAGACACATAGATCCTTTCTTCTCACCTGAGCTCAAATGTGTTTAAAAAGACCAACATTACCCTCCTTCTTTGCTGCTAGACCTTCTGTAGGACACATAGGCCCACACAGAAGAACAAAAATTCATTTATATGCAGGAAGGGACCGACCCACCTACCCACTCACATTCCCCTTTGCCCAGGGCACCCAAACCTTTCCTCTCTGAGTACACCCACACCCTAAACCTGCACCCAGACCCTAAACCTGAGCTACTAGTTTCAGGCACTTGACAGGTCTCAGGTGGGACTCTGCAACACCCAAGTAGCCCACGAAGGTCCCACGAGCCAGCTCTTAGGGTCTAGAAATAAATGCTGAAAGGAGAAGCTTGGGGCCAGGGTTTGAGGTCTCTGGTCTCTTAGGGGACACAGTATCAAATTGCAGCTGTGCCAATGAGCAGATGAACCCACTGGGGGAGCAGAGAGAAGACAGGACCGCAGGCTACCGCCACCCATGGAGAGGGAGCCCCAGACATTGCTCATTTTGGGAACCTGCGCCCCGTCCCCAGGTGTGATTGCAGGACACTAGCTGTAAGACAAGGCTGACTCGGGAGAGAAGGTAGTGTCAAAGTTACTCTAAGGTTCCAGGAAGCCAAAACTCCTTGGTCCACGGCCTGGGTGAGGGTGGGGGTGGGGTACTGAGGGACAGACTTCTCCAGGCCATCATCTGAGTTCAACTGCAGTCCAGGGGTGTCTTGGCCAAGAATTTAGAAGAAATCGCATTGGGAGTGGAGTTGGATCCTTGACAGAATTACTGAGGGTCCACCAGAGTGAAGACAGGCCTATCCCAGGGGCAGGGAGAGACAAACCTGGAGCCATGGGGAGTGACATACAAAATTTTATTATTATTATTATTTATTATTATTATTTATCATGTGCACAAAAAAAAAGAAAGGAAGAAAGAAAGGAAAGAAGGAAGGAAAGAAGGAAAAAAAAAAGAATCAAAACGAACCGACACATTGAAAGTGGCGGAGGAGACCAGAACCATGGAAGACCTTTCGAAGGCTAGGATCCCTGATCCTGGATCCCGCGCTCCTTGAGCGTGGCCAGCCCCACGCAAGACTGGGATCGCGCCTGGCCTCGGAGCTGGGACCTAGGCACCCTCGCCAGCCAGCTCCAGCCACTGGACCCGGATCAGGCGCTGGCATTCCTCTTAAATTATTCTCTTTTCTCGCTTTCCTTTTCAAATAAAAAGGCTCGAAGGGAACAGAGATCTGGCTAGGACTCCAAGCCTTTTTGGATTTGCTCAAGGATTTTTATTTATTTACTTATTTATTTTTTTTTCACTTTTATTGACTTTGTTTCTGTTATTTCGAGTCGTCACGATCCACGGTTGAGAAGACATGCAGGAAGCATCGCCGCTACCGAGAGAGCAACTACGGGGCGGGGCGGGGCAGGGTGGCCTGGCTCGGGCACGTTGGCAAGGCCACAAGGGGCTAGCCTGGAGGCTGGCTCTGCCACTTTTGATGTAGCCTTGGAGGCCTGGGGCAGGAGGGCCGGACCGAGACAGAGACAAGTGAGGCAGAGAAAGAGACAGAGAAGGGGAGAGTAGCAGAGAAAGGGGAGATGACCAGGGAGAGATGCAGGGAGGTGAGAGCGGAAAACACGGAATTACAGAGAAACAGCCAACAAAACAGAGGCGAGAAGTGTCCACGGGACCATGTTCGTCATTTTGCATAGAGATTTCTTTCATAATTTTTTTTTTGTAACGTAAAAAAATGCCCCCCTCCCCCAGGACGTGCTGTGCTTTAGTGGGCATGTAGCTGTGTCCCCCCCTCCCCCCCCCCAGCGAGCGGCGACTCTCAGCACAGACAGCAGGGTGTATCTACAGGCAGGGCGGACGGGGGACAAGGACTCTACGGTACCCGGCGGGCGGGCGGGGCGGAGAGGGAGGGCATATGTACAGAGAGAGGTTCGCCTCCACACCACACACACCGTCTTTCTACAAAGCAGCCTTTCGGGGTTTTGTTTTGTTCATTTTTGCAAAGACCATAATATTAAATAAGTGTAGACCTTTTTTTTTTTTTTTTTTTTTTGCGGCTATGTTCAGCCCCTGCCCAAGGGAAGGCTGAAGGTGGGGGGAGGGGAGTGGGGGGGGGCGGGCAGCCTCCGGTTTCCATCTCTGGGCAGCTGGGTCGTCAGTTCCCTCCTGGCTCCTACCGCCGGCCGGCAGGTTGGGAGTTTGGGGGGGGGTGTCGGGGCGGGGGAGGCAGCAAGTTACTGTTGGGAAAGACCAGTGCTCGCAGCAGCAGTCGGAGGAAACTGTTCCCGCGGTGGCCCCGATGGGGCTGCGTGCTTGGGACCAGACACAAGGCGTCGTGGGATGAGGACGCGCAGCAGGGGGAAGTGAGAGGCCGGCAGATAGATGGACGAGGCGCTGAGGTAGGGGCCAGGCGGGGCCGAGAGTAGAGTCACTGTAGGAGGAGATCCCAGGCCCTGGGGAGCTAGGCAGTTCGCGTGGACGAGCTCAGTTGGCATCTGCTCGCCTTGGGTACCAGCCTTGGAAAACTCCGACGTCCCAAACGCTGTCCCTCGAGTCCGATCCGATTCTCGCGTCCCGGTGCCACTGTCCGCGGCAGGACGCAGACGGGGGGGCGGGGTCCGCCTGGCAGGCACAGGGGGGGGTGGGGCAGGAGTCTCCCCCGGGGTTCCGCCCGCGGCTCCTCCTTCGGCACAAAGTCCTTTCCTTAGTTTCCCCTGCTCAGCTTCTCCAGCGAAGCCTCCCGGTGCCCCCGGCGGGCGTCGGAAGCAGGCTGCCCCCGGGTGGGCCACGCTGATTGTGTGTCACAGGAAGGTGTCGGGCGCGCGGGCCCGAGGCGGGCAGGCTTCCGGGCGGCGCGGTGGTCCAGGCAGGCGGGGAGGGGCGGCGGGCGGGGCTGGCGGCCGGCCCGGGCCTGAGGGTCCCCCACCCGCGGCTCCACCGGCCCGGTCAGGCCATCGACGGGATGACGTGAAGGGCTGCGGGGGGTGGAGGGGTGGAGGGTGTCTCGAGGTGGAGGGGGGGGGTGGGACAGGGACGGTGGCCGAGTGGCAGCGCGTCGCTTCGGTCCTCCCTCCCTCTGGGGTGGGCGGTCAGACTGGGACGATGTGGAGGCCGAAGCTGTCTGCCTGAAGCTTGATGTGGTCCCCGCGGTAACTAGTGGCGGTCATAGGCAGCGGCAGCAGCGGCAGGGGCGGAGCCCCGGGGGGCGGCACTATAATAATAAGGGGAACCTGGAAGTTAACACAGGAGAAGAATGGGCTGGGTGAGAGGACAAACAGGAGAACAAAAAAAAAGGAAAGAAAAGCAAAGAAAAGCCCTCCCCGGGTCCGGCGGGATCAGAACTGGAGGACTGCGGCTGAGCCCTGAGGCCAGATGCCCAGGAGTGCTGCATTCACAGGGCGGGAGAGGGACAGGACAGGTGACACTTGGCGGCAAACAAGCCAAGAGGTCCGACGGCCACTGTGGCCAAGAGCCTTCCAGTAACCGAGAGAGACAGGGGATGGAAGAGGCAGGAGGCGCAGGCGCCGTCGAGGGATCCCCAGGCCCCAGCGCTGCTATAATGAGTCTGTCTCCCTGGCCCATCCCGCTACCCAGAGGTGGGGTGGTTCAGAGTGCGATCCATGTCCCAAAGCAGCCTGCGCACCCAAGCTGGCAGGAGGCGGGCGGGCGAGCCGCTGAGCTGCGGGCCAGCCAGGTGGCGTACTCACTTAGTAAGGCGGGGTTGCTGAATCTCCAAGCCTCGTTGTAGGCGGTGTACTGGGGATGGCTGTATGGGTTGCCTGAGAACTCGCTCCCTGTGGGAGGGCGGGGAACTGGAATTAGACGTACTCAATGTGCCCAGCTGGCATCTTCTGCCCTCCCCACTAGTCCCAGTCTCAGGTGTTCCAAGCAGAGCAAGGGCCCGCGGGGAGGGGGGAGCAGGTCAGAGATGAGGCAATCCACGCTCTCCGCGTGGGGACAGCCACCAAAGGCAAAGAAGTACCCATATCTCTGCACACCTAGTCATGGAGGGATCTGTGGGCACGTTTGTGTCTGGGCTCCCTGTGAAGCACTGCTGCCTACCCCGGAAGGGTTTGGACTGGTCTGGCTGTGCCCATTTAAGTAACTTGGGGGCCAAGAGCTTTTATAGTGGACACTTGCTTTAGAAACTCCACAGGACGCAAGAGGGGGAGGGTGGTGAAGGAAGGCCCTTGAGACACTTTGTCCCAGAAAGTCTTAAGAACCGCATCTCAGTGCTGTGCCAAGACTAGGCAGGTGGTGATGATGGTGCTCTCTGGGGAAATAGCCCCTCCCATTTTTTCCCTCCTGAGGTCCAGTACGAGGGCCATGCAACTGAGGAAGGAGACTTGGAGGAATCAAGTGGACTGCCCGCAGGCCCCGGAGCAGTGAGTAGTGGAGGGCACTGTGGGTTGGGAGCTGCCTCCCTCCCTCCAGGAGGAGAAAGGCCAGGCCTATGGGTTTCCCCCTCGCCCTTTCTCCTGTGTGATGACCCCAGACTGTTTACAGTGATCCCTAACCGCGGGTTAAGTAGAGGAGAAGGGGCCCCACTCCAAGAAGGAGCTGGGTGGGGGTGGGGGACGCAGCCACTGGAAAGCCTGTTTATTGACGAGGAGGGAAAGCATGCGTGCAGCAGGATAATGAGCTTCTGAGCTCAACTGTGACCAAGAGGAACTGAGCTATCTCCTTCCTCATCGCTAATGAAACAAGTGTAATTTCCTCATCAGCACTAGATTCTGTTTAACGACTCCCCCCTTGCCACCATGAGCTCTCTGCAGGCTTCCCACCCCCACCTCCCCACTCTTTCCTCGCCCCCACCTCCCTAAGACCTCCTCCAGCCTCCACCTGCTCACTGATCTACCTCCAAAGCCTCTCCTTGCCCCTACCAACGCTTCTGCATGCCTTCTCCAAAGTCTGCGCAGGAATCCCTGTCTCACACCTCCAGCTCCCTTCAGCCCCTATTCCCTGCTCCCCTGCAGCGGTGTGGTTTTTCTCAGTCCTACCTAGGCTTACTCAGGGCTGTTCCTTGATGGACGAGGCCAATCACCTTTTCTACCCTCTGCTTCTCCCCCTACCCCTGAGGGTTGCACTTCAGGAACAGGGCACACCAAAGACTCTAGAGGCAGAGGGTTGAAGACTGGGAAAGTCTTGGTCATTTTAAGACAGAGATTTGGGGAGATAAGAACTTCTACTCTCTTTGACTTTAAGCCACTCCCACTTGGGTTGGAGGGTGGAGCTAGGAGCTGCCAGGCTTTAAATACAGCCTCTGTCTCCTTAATTCCAAATCCAAGTCCAATGCCTCTCAGCAAAAAGGTGCACTAGAGTCCCAAAGGAGCAGGAGGGCCTGTGTCCTCTGAAGAAGTGTTGAGGTGTTCTAGCTTGTTTCTTTCTGAAGCTAAGGCGTCTCTGGTTCTCTCCTGTCCTCCACTCCACTTTGAGACTCACTTCCTTCTCTCTCTGGATTGGGGTTGGTTCTCTACAGTGCTCCCCCCAACCCCTGGCTTGGTGTGGACCAGTGTGGCTTTGTCTGAATGACTGCCGTGCCCCTGAAAATGGTCTTTGGTTCCAAGTTTCCATGGAAACAAGGGCAGGCTCTTCCAAGCAGTGTCAGCTAGCTGGGGTGGGCTGCAGCACTGGGACATAGGCTTGGACGGATGGGTGCTGAGGAGGGGCAGACCCTACAGCTATGCACACAAGGGGCACTTCTGCAAGCTTCCTCCTTGCATTGCTTCTAAAGGGCCAACTGTGGCTTCTACGGAGAAGGAGGGCGGAAGGACAACGGTTTGCAGGACAATGGCCTGTTGGATCTCCTCCCACCCCCAGCCTCAGACTACAGACTGTTTAGCAGCGCGCCCACAATTTAGTTACCCCCACCTAGATCAGCCATCTACAACATTGTCACCTACCAGGCACCATTCCTGCCAGGGTGGAGGTAGGGTAGCTTCCCTGGCCAGTGGGGGGCACATGAGGGGGGTAACCAGGTAGAGTGGTGCTCGCCATATCACGACCTGGAAAAACACAAAGGGGAAGGAGTGAGGCCTGGAAGAGAGGGGCCTGCCTCAGCTCACACCTGGATGGACAGGACATTCTCCGAGAGGAAGGAGATGTGCAGATGTGCATCTGAGCCTTCGGGCCCCCTAGTGCCTAAATGTGGGTCCAAATGCCTAAACATGTGTCCACCATCAGCCTCGTGTGTGTGTGTGTGTGTGTGTGTGTGTGTGTGTGTGTGTGTGTGTGTGTACCTCTGTTTTATGTTGCTCATTGCATATCTGTGCATAGGTGTCTGCCTGCCTTAGTCTGTGTCTCTGCGATTCCCAACAGAGATGGAGCTGGGTGGAGATGGCCTGGTTTTACTCCTTTTCCACGGATACTCAGCTGTTATTGCTCTGGTGAACCTCTATCATCCTGTTCACTTCTCTTCCCAACTCCTATCTTCTCTTCAGGTTTGAAGACACCCCACGACCACCTCTACAAGGGTAGAGTCCTTATTCTAATTGGAGCTGTAGATGCCGGGCTTGGTAGGTCTGGAGGATGAGGGACTAACCAATGGGCTATTTTGCTGTGACTGTAGCCTTTAAAGGCTAGAAAACCATCTCTGAAGTGAATCAGGAACTTTGAGGGCAAGCGGATCAGATCAAGTTCCAGTGAGCAAAATCTGCTCCACCTACCAGCAGCCTCCCTGGAGGTCTCTGCTCTACCCAGAGCCTAGAGAATGGGGGATGGGACTCTCCTTGCCAGGAGCAGGAAGTGGAGGCAGAGGGAATCAATATTAGAGAGCTACTTCCATCCAGAGACGTTTGTTCTGGAACTCACGTGACTGGCTTCCTTCCAGTTCTAGGAAGGGGATCCCTTCTAGCATACTCCAGTCTTTCATGGACAGTATTGACTCCTTCCTATTGCCTACACTAGAACCTATCCTCTCCTGGGGCCCAGGCATCTGCTGCGGATTTCCCTGGTCATCCTCACCAGACAGTGGCATTCTGCTCCTCATGCTCTGTCCAACCCTGAGGAGGCAAGGTGTGGCTGGAGGAAGTCATAGCACTATGGACACCTCCCCTAGTTCACTTTCTTTTCCTTAGTTGGGTCCTAGTCATGGTTAGGCCCACGGGACTGACTTTCCATGACTATTCTGTAGCATCTTTCTTTCTTCACTACTGTCCACTTGATGAGGCCAGCTACTTCATTCCCCAGACACGTGTGCTTTCTCATCCCCACTTTGACACATCTGAGAGGGTCGTCCTTCTCTAAGGATACAGAGCTACTGCTCAGGCCTTTCCATTCCTGACTGCCTGCTGAACATCCTCATTAGCTGTCCCACGGCCACCTCAAACTCAATAGGAATAAAGACAGATCCACCTTCTCCTCCATCAGTCTTCCAGCCCTTTTGAAGACTTACCTAGAACTTCAGAGTTCTAGACCCAGCCTTCTTTCCCCACCCCTTCCGATACGCAATCAATTTTCTTTAGCCATTTCTGTTATATTTGTAGTTTGACCCCCAAGTACCTGCCTTTGGCTTCCTCCAGTGGGTTTTCTTTGCTTGTATTCCTGCCTCCACATTCTCCCCTCTTACCAATCTAAATATGGCTGCTAGCCCTTCTGAACACTGCTTTCATGGTACCACGCCCTTGTGAACACTGCCATTGGTTCCCTGTAGGCTACAGTTTGAATGGAAACTCTCCAGACTCCAAGTCTCCCAGGGGCTCACCCCACTTGGCTTTCTCAGCTCTGACTCTCACTTCTGGTCGAGTTTGTTTTCATCTTGTGATGTAAAAGATGTGACCTTTGCTTCCTTTTCACTCATAGTTTTCTTCCAGCTCAAGCCTCAACATTTCCATCCTTCTACTCATCAAGGACGTTTCTCTCAAGTTTCCATGACATCTGTGTGCCATGATGGACTATGTCATCATATTATTGCAAAATGCATTGCCAGCTGTGTTGTTTCATGCCAAACAGACCATAACTCACCCAAGGGCGGGACCTGCATTCTGATCTACCCTGCACAGTTGAGAACACAGTACTCTCACTAAGTCCTTATTGATCAATTCTCAATGCCTCCATTGCATCCACAGCCGATCCCTGGTGGATGCTAATGGTTTTCTTATTGTTCCATGTGTGTTGATCTACTACAGAGAAGCAAAGCTAGCACGAAATCCACTAGACTCTTCTCCTTGAAAAATCAATGGAAATGGGGCTGGAGAGGTAGCTTTGTGGTTAAAAGCACTGGCTACTCTCTGGGAGGACCCAGGTTCAACTCCAAGCCTCCACGTGACAAATCACAACTGTCTGTAACTCCAGTCCCAGGGGATTGATGCCCACTTCTGGCCTCTTGGGGTACCAGGCATGTGGTACCCAGACATACATGCAGGCAAAACACCCATATACATAAAAATAAATAAAAGTTTAAACATTTGAAAAATAAATTGAAACAGCAGTGGAATTTTTACAAAGATTTTCAATGACAGATTCATCTCTGGTGACTCAGATTTACCATGCAACAGAATGATTTCCTTCTATTCCTGTTGAGTATAGCTAATGCCTTACATTTCCCGAAATTCACTAGAAAAAAGAACTAGCAAAGAAAAGGTCACTTCTGAATCCCAGCCAGTAGAAGAATCTGCATCTGCTTTTTGTTTGTCCTATTTTGTTTTGTTTTGAGACAGTCTTACACCTAGCTCAGGCTTGCCTCAAACTTGTGATCCTCCTGCCTCAGACTCCTGAGTGCTGTGATTACAGATGTGTGCCACCACGACTTGCTTGTGTTTGCTTCATTGTAGCTTTTCTTGTATTGACTTTTTTTTTTCTAAGACAGGATTTCTTTGTGTAGCCTTGAGTATCCTGGAACTAGCTCTGTAGACCAGCCTGGCCTCGAACTCAGAGGTCTACCTGCCTCTGCCTCCCGAGTACTGGGATTAAAGGTGTGCACCACCACTGCCTGACTCCTGTATGGACTTCTATCGCCAATTTTAAAAAGTACATATCTCCTGACCATTTCTCAGTGGAGAGGAAGTGCACGGTGAAAGAAAATACCTATCAGTTCCGAGAGAGAGAAGAGGAGAAGAATATGGCATTTATTTGTCAAAGAAGACCTAGGAAAAAGGAGGATTATGGGAGATGTAGAGGTTTTGAGGCTGCAGAGATACAGAACTTGATTTCTCCAGGCCCTGGGATCTCAACATCCACAAAGTAGCCAGGAAGCAGAGTGTGCCTCCCTCCTTCTCTGCCCCTCCCTTCTTATCCCCTTGATTTCTGTTCCACGCTGGGCATCATGACTCGTTGTGAAGACAGGAAAACTGAATTTGACCTCAACTGTCATCATTCTTAACAACTAGTTGAATACACATTCCCCATCGTGGAAGGTATTCACATAAAACAACAACAACACCAAACAGAAACAGACAAGAGGAAGATGGGGTGGCTGTTCAGAAGCTCTCTTCAGACAACTTGGAGGCAATCCTCTTGCAAAGTTTATTCCCACAGCTATCTTGCCTGCAAAATGGCATGTTCAACTTCCAGCAGGTAGAAGACTTTGCCTACTGAGATCCGCTCTCTGAACAATTGGTTGGAAGGCACATTTCCAAATTGTAGTTCTTAAAAGAATCTATGGCCGGGCGGTGGTGGCGCACGCCTTTAATCCAGCACTGGGGAGGCAGAGTCAAGCGAACTCTGTGAGTTCGAGGCCCTCCTGGGCTACAGAGTGAGTTCCAGGAAAGGCGCAAAGCTACACAGAGAAGCCCTGTCTCGAAAAACAAAAACAAAAACAAAACAAAACAAAAAAAGCATCTCTATCTGTAGGTAGCGATTTGAAATGTGAAGAACGTGGGAGCAGAGGCCCGCGGGCGGGGAGGAAAAAGCACTCAAGTTTTCTAGTGTTTGTCATACTCCTCTGCTTTGTTCTGTAGAGACGTCACCAGAGAGAGGCGCCTGCTCAGGACCTCTGAGTCAACAAGCTGCCAGCCACTGCATGCAAAGCACGCTCAATGACTTCATTAGTACACAGACGACACCTGAAGAGCGGGAAAAATTGACCAAAGTCTTGCTAGAGCCATATATTCTCCTGGAACACCATTGTCAATAACGGAAAACGCACAGTGCAGGAAGCTTTCAAATTACTAAAACCATCATACACCATTTGCCCAGCAGCATTCTTGGAGCAAGTCTCCTTTGGTGAGGGAATATCAATGGGAAATGGAAGACCTGACAGAGCGCTGGGCGCTGCAGTGTTAGGGAGAGATGGGTAGACGGCAGTGGGGACGACTCTGAAACTGTAAGATGGCACAGCCGTCTCCTTTACACAAACAGGCCGAAGCACAGAAACAGGAGAAAAGCCTGCCCGGCAGAGTGCATCAGTTATAAACTATGGGCCGTCGTCCCGAGGCAGACAGGAAGCAGTAAAGCGTTTGCTTGCTCACTGACAAAGCCAGCAACATAAAAGCAGCACCAGGAATCAAAGCGGATAAAAAGCCAACGTTACTATGAGAGAGCGGGCATTCCATGCTGCCTGCTTGCTTTCTGATGTGACAAAGCTTTCAGAGATGAGTCTCCTGGATGACCATGCCTTTGTCGTAAAGGTAAAAAGGTGGAGACACAGAGGCACAATGACTCTCCTAGGATTATATGGTTAGTAAATGACAGCATCAACATTGGAAGCCACGTCCATGCCACACTGCCTTTAATGACAACACGGACCCAGATACTCCGACACCCCCCCCCCCCCCCCCGCAAAGAGCTGAAGAAAAGGAAAAGAAGTTTTCCAACAAGCAAAACCTCATACCACCACATTACCATTAAGATGAAGCAGGGAAAAGGGGGACACAAGGAATGAACAAGTGTATGGGAGGTCTGTAGTAAAACTCCATGGGGGTGGAGTCTTCATCTCCCTTGAGAGTTTTCTAACACAAAAGAGCCCCTCTGAGAAGCAGTAGTAGTGGAGAATCTTAAAGTCCCCAGAAGTGTTAGAAGCACTGTACTTGATGAGGATGTCTTCTCAGTTCAACCGAGGGAGTCCCTG